AAGTATTGAAATTATTGACATGGGCTTTCATTATTTTTAATTTTGTTTAAAATAAGATTGTCACTCATGAGCAACTTCGGCTTTTGAAATTCGATCCGATTGACGAATACCCTACAATAGTTACGAATATAATACAGAAATATGTCGTGGAAAAGTATGTATATTTAGTTCTGTTACCAATAATTTTTATTCCATAGAGAATTGTGTCATAACACATAAAGCAATACAATAACCCAACCATTTATTGCTGTCAATAATGGCATGTTATGTGAGGTATAGCTACAAAAAAAGCTACAATAAGGTTAACAGGTTTGCATAACCTATAACCATTGCCATGCAAAACAGGTTCTTCTCTTGCGAGCAGATTTTTTTTCCGAACAATTTTCCAATCACCAAATCCTCTGACTTAATTAAAAAGCATACCTTACATAACATGTTTCAGGATTATGACAAATACTCTTTTTTATATCAATATTCATAATGCTAAAACTTGTTTTAAATATGTTAATATATTATATCTTATCATCTACTTTGTCACAAGATAAACTTGAATTATAAATTATAGTTATTTAGTTTATTTTAGACTCTCACATAAATTTCAACACATTATTTATATGAATATACAGTTCATTTTGCAAGTACAAAACTTTTGCTCCTCTAAAATCGAAATGAAGTTGGAAATTCCAATTAATACACAAAACTGCACGCATGTTTTATTCAAAGATTCAGAAACGTTTCTATGTATTTCATTCTATAATGATAAAGAAATGTTGTAATCAAATGATGTACAAAATCTTCAAAGAACAATTTTAATAGCAATTTGTAGCTGTATAACTGTTAGCTTAACCAATTCCGTAAAGTAATGAATGATGTTTCTGAAATTTCATCAGCGCCAGAACAGTTAGCTGCATGCAATACAACTGTTTCAAATGAATGAGGCTTTTCACTTAAAATCAAATACTTTTAAAAAAAAAAAAAAAAAAAAAAAAAAAAAAAAAAAAAAAAAAAATTATCCGTCTCTTGAAAACGTTTGCGATTTCATTCCTTTTAATCGTATAAGTCACAATTGGGTATAACTTACTTATGAACATGTCATATGAAAAGTCTAGTTGAAATTTTCAAAAGTGATTACAATTCTATAAAATTCAATTACTTCAAAACATATGCCATCTATTTGAATATCAATGACTTTCATGTTAAAATGTTGAATTCTGCTTAAACCGGTGCTGGGGGGGGGGTGTGGACGGTAGTTTGCACTTTACAGTATCGTCCATGAACAGGCTCAATCAAACCGTTTAGGACTTTCTATAGGGATTCTTATTACCACATCAGCGTTCTTTCTACCGTGTAAATAGTCGCCCATAGATGTTATACATTGTATTTCCGATACTTTAAGGTCGTTCAACACGACACTATTGTTTTGTTCGACTATTTGGTTCATTCAATTTGGGTGGTTCGAATATTCCTACTTAAATAATGTTGAAACACCCTAAGGATATGTTGCCTTCTTTTTTAAACTTGTTTTTGACGTATTTCTGTGATATGCAGGCTTCATTACTTCTGATCCCCTTTCAAAATTCCATTTTATTTAGTTCTGCATATTGTTTTCACCTTTTCGGGCACACGCTTTCTATTACTTGGGGACCATACGCCGTTTTTCATGGAATAGCGCGGAAGTGTTCCATGCTAACCGCCGTATGAACACATCTGCGGATGTTTCTAAATTGAAAATTTTGCCATTTCAGGTTTTAAAGTTGAATCCTGCTTAAGTCGGGGCTAGGGGGTGTGGACGGTAGTTTGCACTTGACAGTACCGTCCACCAACAGGCTCAATCAAACCGAGCCTGCAACATTTTCAATTTAGCTGTTTTGGACTTTTTTTAGGGATTCTTATTTTCTTCATTTTATACCTGTTGTTAAAATGTTTATGAGAGTTTCTTTAAAAATATAATATTCAGCAGTTAAATGATTATTTAATGAAAAATACATAGAAATGGCTCTTCTCGTAAGAAATTAACTTCCTATATAAAAATGGTGTCACCTTAATTAGTGATACGTTTACGTTAATTGTTGTGGTTGTTTCCGTCGTCGTTGTCGTTAATTTCATTGTTACTGAGTCAAATACAATTTTCTTTCTTGCATGTTTTCGAACCGCTTCTTAAATTCAATATTCATCAGACGTCATATGCGAAAATATGTAAGCAATATTGTGACTTTTTATGATACAAACATATTTATAAGATCTGGTTAATAAATAATGTATTATGTTTTACATTACTTTTGCTATATAAGATCTTACAATTATCGAATCTCTTGAGAATGATGATAAAAATTTACAGCTTGTATCCAATAAAGTTACATTCCTATAAGTATACTATAAAGATATCATAAGAAACGTACAATTAAATTTCGTACTAATTTTCCTGCAATACCATAAATTAAGTGATCTTTAAAAACTAATTAATACTGTTCACCTAAAGTGAATTAGAATCTTAATGGATTTAAATAAAATAAAATAAAACTAAGCAGGCATAACTTTTGAATAGTTCAGATGTTAGATGCGTATATTAATGCGTAGTCAATTTGTTTTTGTAACCAGGTTTCGCGCTAGGAAAATTTAGCGCGTGAATCAGAGTTTTTGATTTCGAAAGACAGTTACCAACCTGGCTGGATGTCCCCGTACTGCATCCGTGTCTCCGTCTATTTTGTCACCAAAACAAAAAGCGTCTTATCAATATGCCAGTCGACGGTCAACCAAACGTTAAAAAGTCTGATTTTCACCCGTTAACCTCGCATTTCCTAAGAGTGGGTGAAGCGGTGTTTAAATTGTCTTGTGCATTATTATGATAAGTGGTTTCTTAACTTTTAAATGCGTACATATTGAAAAGCATGAGAAAAGCTTAAAATGGAGAAATTGATATACATGTAAAACAATACTATATTTCCAAATAGTCATCATACTTAAATATACGAAAGTATATTATCTGTTGTGAAAGTATATTATCTGTTGTGAAACTATAACCTAATTAAAGTTGGGTCATCAAGTATCCATTGATTTGTTTTTCCTGTGTCAAAAGTCCCTTTACAATTTAATGTATATTCAGGTAGTGTTTCCAGTTAGATGATTTGTCGATATGATAAAATATTTTGACAGTATATATAGAAATGCACTATGGCTGAAAATGTATAAATTAGGAATAAAAGGTAAATTGCTGCGTACAATAAGAGACATGTTTCAAAAAGTTAAATCTTGTTCGAATTATTCTGATTATTTTTAATATGCTATTGGATAACGTCAAGGGAGGTAATTTATTCTCTCTTTGTAGAGGATTTAGAGTTATATTTGCAAACTGGTAATGAATCAGGACTGTCAATTGATGATGTTATTTTGATGTAATTGTTATTTGCTGACGATATGGCCATCTAAGGAAAGTCACCATTGGAACTTACATTCATATTGCTCTAGATGGGGATTAAAAGTAAATACAAGCAAAACAAAAGTAATGGTTTTTCGAAAACGAGGGGGGTTATTACAAAATGAGAACTGGACTTATGATGGCCAAATTTTAGAAGTTGTGAATGATTTTAATCATTAAGGTACTGTCTTTAATTATACAGGCATTTTTTCGCTTAACCAGGAACACTTGGTAGGAAAAGCTTTAAAAGCTCTTAATGTTTTGTTTTACAATTGTAAAAAGTTTTATCTTAAACCTAGTAAAATTTTAAAATGTTTGATCTTAAACCTAAGATATTATGTCAATTATTTGATGCTTTCATTGGGTCTGAATTTAAATTTGGGGTTACACGAAATCTAAAGAACTGAAAAGAATCCACTTACAAATTTGTAAACGTTTGCTTAATGTTAAATTCTGCTGCAGTATATGGTGAGTTAGGGCGTAATCCGTTGTATGTGACTCGTTACGTAAGAATTGTCAAGTTTTGGTGTAAGTTGAAAAACACTGATAATAGTGTTTTAAAAACTATGTATGAAGATGGTATATTTGATTTAATAAAGGACACCGCAATTGAGTTTCAAACGTTAAAAGCTACTCTGTAATTATGGTTTGCTGAAATTTTCAATGAAAATGCGTTGATGCACTTGTGTTCCCTATCATTTTTAAACGTAGAGTTATAGCCACTTTTAAACAAGATTGGGCAGCTACGTTAGAACGTCGCCCTGTTTTGTTTAATTACAAGAATTTTAAGCTTAATTTTGGTTATGAAAGTTACCTTGATATTCTGCCTCGTAAATATAGATATTAGTTTTGCAGATTAAGATTATCTGTACATCCTTTAAGAATACAGACGGGAGTTATGTTGCAACACATTTGACATAGAAGTTGAATGTCATTTTATATGTGTATGCCCTAGTTTTAATAGTCTTCGAATGCAGTATCTTAAAAAATGTTATTATGTTAGACCATCTGTGATTAATTTAATAGATTTCCTTTCAACACAAAATAAAACTGTTTTAATTAAGTTATCAAAATATATCCAAGAATCTTTATCGTTGAGAAACACAATCATTAAATCTTAACATAATTGAATTGTTATTATCGTCTTGCATAATGTCTGTCCTCTTTAATCATTGGCTTTTTTTTAATTTAAAATGTTGTTTATAATTTGTATGTTTTCGCATGCCATTTGACTAAGTTTAATCAAATCTTTTATTAACAAGACGATGCACTTATGTATAAGTCTGTAAATAAAATTCTGTTCTGTTCTTTTCTATGAAACGTCTATAACACAATGTGTGAGTTAGTGTGATGATATATATGTGAGTGACTAATACACTTTAAAAATAACTCAAAAGAATATGGTGTTAAACGCTGGTCTGATCTACAATGTCAACTGTACTCAAAAGCAATGACATTTGAATAAAATTAAAAATGTTCACCGCAATGAATGAGCGAGTTTGCATATTGCTACAATGTACAGTGGACTGAACCAACTTTAATTGATATATCTAATGTGTTCTGATGTTGTTATTTTTCAGACAAAATGAACAAGACAGAAAGGTCAGAGGAAGAACAAGCGGCAACTTTACAGGATTTGAACAATGACGAGCTTGACAAGCTTATTCCTGCTGTAATATTTCTCTCCGTCATTTCACTGACTGGCATAGTCGGAAATAGTTTAGTTATTCACATTTACAGAACGCGATTCAAGTTTTCTAACGTTCAGTGTTTTGTTCTAACTTTGGCAGCTATAGATTTGTGTTCATGTTGTGTAGCTATTCCTCTTGAGACAGTCACTCTTCTAGACAAGTTTACATTTAAGCCTGGATGGCTCTGTAAATTGGCCAGATTCATAAATGGCGTTTGCACAAATGCCTCAACGTTTATGCTGATAATGATAGCTGTCGAAAGATTCCTGAAAATTTTGAAACCATTTGAATGGCAAATCAAAGCATCCGTCGCAAAGATGTTATGCGTTGCATCTGTGATCCTCGCAACGATGGTTTCATGGCCTGCTATCGTCATTTACGGAAAAGATACTTTCGATATCCCGAAATTCAATCTCACCGGAAGTGCATGTAAGACTGATAATAATGTAAAAGATACGCCATTTCCGGTTGTGTACACACTTGCTCTTGCGATTTTGTTTATTTGCAGCGTAATCTTATTGGTTATATTGTATTGCATGATTGGAAACAACGTGAGAAGCCGCGTTCGTAACATGAAGGACGGTCTAGTAAAAGCTGGTTCACAAGCTTACATCCGAAGAACCACTTTCGTCATGTATCTGGTTACTATAGCGTTCATTTGCAGTTTCCTCCCACATCTTATTGTGAGGCAATTCAAAAGCAAGTTTTCCGCAGACGGTTCTTCCAGCGGAAGTGAAGGTGTTTACAAAATTTTGACAAGATCCTACTTCCTGAACTGCGCAGTAAATCCTATTATTTACAGCATTTTTGACTCGCATTTCCGGCGTGCGTGTAAGAGAAAAGCATCTGGAGACTCAACCACATGTACAAAGGCAGGGGCGTAACTGAGTTATTTTGTTCTGTACTACTTAACTAGGTGGGTTCGGGGCCATGCTCCCCCGAGAAAATTTTTGAAAGAGGAAGCGATATATATCCTGGCATTTCGTGACTATCTAGAGGCTATATATTGAAAACAGATTGGTGATGATTTCAAACTCTTTTTATCAATTTTAAAATATGTAAAATAAACAAGTACGTTACATATACCATAAAACTTCTTATATCTGTAATTGATTTTTTTGGCAGCACAAATTTGTTATTTTGCAACCTTCTAACTGATGTTATAGCAACAAATCTCCCGTATTCAGTAAATTTTAAATTAAAAAAACAACAACAACAACAAAAACAACAACGTTAAAACAAACACTAGACGTCTGTTTCGTTGGTATGCAAACTTGTCTACTCGGCATTTACTACCCTATCCCTATAAACATTTATGATACCTAGACTAAACATACGCTCAGTCTCCATGCATATAGTCAAAATATATAAAATTGACGCGCCAAATCTTGATTCTGAGATATTTTAGTTCTGGGACAGAATCTCGCTAGATATTGCCCAGACACGAAAATAGCACAATATCTCGTCGCGCAGTACAATAAGTTGGACTTTGTTTAAGTTCAGTTGTTGCCGTTGACACTGGCATGACCACCAAAAGGGTCAAACAATGCCTCACGTTTGCGTACAGAGCCTTGCTTCCTTCAGAAAAGCCGGGGCCGTTGGACGGCAATTGTCAAGTTTACGTTTATCCACCACATAAGCCACAGCTAACACTGAGACTCTCGGACAAAGATGGGTTTATTCACATTTAGGCTTGTTTTTTAAATGCGAGGTACAATGCCCCAATGCTTTCTCAGGAAAGACCGTCATTCTGCACCTTCATATGTTGCAACTGTTGTAACAATATATTAAGAATGATAATAGTGTGAAAATTTTGATTAAGTTCAGTGAATGTTTTGGCCTGTTAAATATTTCATTACATTCAAATACAATTCTCAACCAGTACGGTATATAAAAATACCGCGTTATATTACACGCAAAAATATTTTAAAATCTCCAGTAAGAAATGTCAGTAAATTAATTAAAAATCGTTGCATATAACATAGATTATGTGGAGTTAAATATAGAACTCACGAATACATAAAAGGATTCATTTAAGATCTTTCTGTGATAATGTAAATTCATTAACAGATATATGACTTTAATAATGATTTAACTGCGCATGGATCTTGCTTGATGCTTTGTTGACCACAAAGAAATATTTCTAGAATCTGGCGATTCTTTTAAATAAATGCATTAAATTGAAATGGAATTGTGCACTCTTTGTCTTTTCCTGCCTTTTCGGCACGGCCAAGTAATTCTCTGCAGCAATCAATTGGTTAATATGTCATGAGAACTTTGCATGTCTTTCAACCATCTTTGAGAATTTTCACCAATTTGTGTTTTCTGATTAAAAGATGAGAATTAAGAAATAATATCGGTGTTAGCGATGTTTATCGGCTATTTAACACCGGTTTGGAGTTTGATGCGTATGAATTGACCACGAAGGCCGTAGGCCTGAGTGGTTAATTTTTTCGCATCAAAACGACAAAACCGATAAACACCGCTCAGACCGACACTATTTCAATTCTAACACGATAGAATAAGGAAGATCACTAATATGTTATTTTTTCAAACGGAAATAACTTCCGGTGCCGATTTTCGTATAACGCTGTTCGATTTTTGCACCCTACTGTTGCGAAGATATAGAAATGATTAAACAAAAGAAATAATAAGAAAAAACGTTATTTTATCAACTTTTCAACGTCGTATTGTGTTTACATCAGTGTCCCATTTATCATTCGTGTATGTATGAAATAACGTCCGCTTGTTTATGAATGAGTTGTTTACTTAGGATGATGTCATTACGCTGCTTACGGATTGGCGCCGTTTTGTCAAAATATTTATAACTGATATGGATCAAATATGTGGCGTTAGTGTATGTGAGATATTATTTCTATATTGTATGAAAAGAAAACATTATAAGAACTGAAAATTTAAATAAAAATGCTTTTTATTGTTGTTTCAAAAGGCTCTGTAAACTATAATATCGAGGGTGAAAACATAACAGCCGCATATACAAGTAGTCCCTAACCAGTGTTTATTGGCAGTTTAACATCGGTTTTTTCCTTCTTTGTCTATAGTGACAAAATCACGTGGAGTGTTAGAATACAAATCAAACATACAAGGCGACGTTGACAGAACGCAACCCCCTACACAATCCAATCCAGCCACACCAGCAGGGTACCCAGAAGGCAACCAACCAGAGACAAAAGTGGACACAAAAGGGCCAATACGTGAAATAAAAGGTTTTGGGGAAAAAACATAAGAAGCACGGTGTGCAAAACATATGCCGCCAATGCTTGGGGAATATCATGGCCAAGAATCGATGCTGAACCAGGCACCTTATATTAAGATTTTTGTAACTTTCCTCCTCCGAATCTGTATAAGATATCGCAATATAGATCATTTTAAAAGATATTGATTAAAACTGTATATGTTTTGAATTTTCTATATAATGATATATGTGCCCCGACCACACTACCCCTTCTGTTTTTATCACTTTTAAAGAACTTTTAGCGCATGTGATTTTTTGGAATACAGGATTGATTTGTATGCCCAGTATTAAATCATTTTCCGGCATAAAAAAAAATAAAATAAAAAAAAATTGGACGGTAGCGGTTTTCTGCCAAACATGAAAGTGGAATAAGACAACGGATTCTTGACAATATGTATAACAATAAGTTTATCACGTGATTATGTTAAGTTTAATTTTCAGAGCCAATATTTATGCAATGAATATAGAATTCTGTTAGAAATACCCTGAACGAAAGTATTTTTAGCTTTCCATAACTGTAATAAAATAAATGCCATTTTATCACTGCTATATTTAACACTAAATAGAAAAGCAGACCAGATTGTGTAGAAAGCTTAAATGTGTTATAATATGTTTCATTTAAGTATTCAAATGATGAAATGCTAAATGGTAAGGTCATACTTATGGTGAATTTTTAAGCTTTCTTAGTTCCACATCAGCATTCTTAACGACCTCATAGTTTGAACCACAATACACGTCATATTTTTAAAAACAAACGATTGAGTTGTTAATGATAAGCTAATCCGTCATTATCTAATACATCGTAAAAAAGCATGTCATAATTTTTAGAGTGAAGGGAGATCATGAAGATGACTGATAAATCATGAGTACATGTTCTTAAAGCCCTGATGTATTAATTGCAACCTTAGAGTGCATCATCACACTCAACATTTACGCAAGGTCTGATAACTCTGTGATTTACTTAAAGAACAGTTAATTGAAGGGTTACAACTCTTATAATATTATTGGTAAATAAATTTAGCTGCGGTCTCACTTACTCCCGGCAGAGCCCAGGACCATCCCGGTAAGTTACCGGGGTGATCCGGGGTGAAATTATTGTAACGGTCACACTTACCCCGGCAGCACTACGGTAGTTCCCAACTAACCACCCAGGATGCGCTCCGGATCATCCAAGCAGAGCCTATGTGAAGCTATGGTTCATGCCAGTGCTTCCCCGGTCGTTCCCGGATGATGCCAGAAAAGCCCCGGTTGACCCAGGCAGAGCCCCGGCCGATCCAGGCAGAGCCCCGGCAGAGCCCAAGACGATCCAGGCAGAGCCCCGGTAGAACCCCGATGGATTGAAAACGCCCGAAAATGATAACATTGATACATAAATTTTATTTAATATAATATCTATTGTTCCAAAATAGTAATTCATGTTGATTTTCTGAAAAATCATTATGCCATACTGGATAGAAGAGAAATGGGAAGGGTTTTAATACAAACAAGTGTTATCATCGCAAATTGTCGTTATTCTTTTGAAATGATCCGGGCTTTGCGGGGGCTCTACCGGGATTAACCGTAGCTCTATCTTTATCCTCCGGGGCTCTGCCTATAGTTACCGGGGCTCTGCCGGCATATACCGGGACTCTACCGTACGTAGCTCTACCGGCTATATCATACCCCGGATCATTCCCGATTTGTGCCGGCAGAGCTACGGTGCTTCCCCGGTCGTTCCCGGCAGAGCTAAGGATGAAGCCGGCAAACATTTACCTTCCCGGATCACCCCGGTGATATTTATATTTTATTCCATCCGGGGTCGAATGCCGGATGTTCCCGGATCATATCCCGGACGTTGCCGGCAGAGTTATGGATGTACTCCGGTTGTTCCCGGTCGTTCCCGGACGTCTACCATTGCTCTGCCGGGACGTGAGACTGTAGCTTTACAGAAACTTGATTCCAGATATGTAACACATCATCCAAAATAAACTTGTGCAATTGGGTGTCATTTACAAAAGAAACAATGCATATATAAAACGTAATGTGTGACCAGATGAAAACTGAAACTCTAGGTTATTGTTTTCCGACAGATCTCATTCAAATAAAACATTTATGTAACGCTTGACCACTACCTTTAGATTACTCAAGTAACTGTGTATGCCACAAGGCCTTCAAGACGGACGGACATGTTTTAGGATGAAAATAGTTTTCTGGGTGAACATAGCTTTAACCATGGACATGGCTTTCACGGTGGACATGTTATTTTAGGGTGGACATGATTTTCATGGTGGAAATACATCTTTTTGTCAGCGGACATGGTTTACTCGATGAACATTGTTTTCACGATGGACATGGTTTTCAGAGTGGACATTGTTTTCACGATGGACATGGTTTTCAGATTGGACTTGGTTTTAGGGTGGAGATGGTTTTCAGAGTGGACATGATTTTCTGGTTGAACATGTTTTTCAAGATGAACTTGGTTTTCAGGGTAGAGGTGGTTTTTAGGGGGGCATAATGGTTTTCAGATTGGACATTTTTTTCAGAGTGGACAAGGTTTTCAGGTTGAACCTGGTGTTCAGGGTAGACTTTATTTTCAGACTGGAGCAGCGTGGAAATGGTTTTTTAGGGTGAACATTGTTTTTAGGGTGGCGTGGTTTTCAGGATGGACTTGTTTTCAGATTGAACATGTTTTCCTGGGTGTCCATGGTTTTTAGGTTGAACATTGTTTAAGGGTGGAGATGGTTTTTAGTTGAACATGGTGGGCAACGATATTGAGGGTAAACATGGCTTTCAAGATGGACGATAGTTTTTTTAGGGAGGAAGGACGAAAGCAA